GATTCATCATCAATGGATCCTATAAAAGAAGAAATTTTAATAAAAAATATGAACAAAAATTCAGTTGGATGTTGGGGTACTTATCTAGATCTGACAAATATCCCATATAATGAATATGAGCGAGCAATTGATGATTGGGCTCAATCTATGGCTGTAATAATAATACATAAAAAGGTGAATGGAATAATGAAAAAATTTTAAATTATATTTGCACAACCCTGCAAGGTGATGCTTTAAGATTTATCAAGAAATAGCAACAAAATACATTAGGCCAACTAAAACAGGCTGAAATTATAAAAAATCCACTTTTTGAAAATGTACTATCCGATTTTACAAAACTCCTAAAACAAGAATTTATCGGATATCAAAGCATTGCTAGTCAACAAGTTGATGCAACTTATTCACTAACAACGATAAAACTTAGCAAAATTTGTGCATTTGAAACTTTTGCGAAATTATTTCAAAGATACTTTCATGAAGAGAAAGAATCCGATTCAGAATTTTGGAAGGGTCAGTTTTTTCATAAACTACCTCTACCTTGAGATGAATTATGTAATTCTACATATAAACCATATGTAGAATCATTTAAATGCACTGACACTCTGGGTAACATGATTGCTTTTGTACTTAGAACTATGATGGAACATTGCCTCACTTCTAAGGCTACAAAACAAATTAAAAACCAACTTTCCTCGAAAATATATAAGAAAGTCCTAAAAGAAGAATGGGAAGTAGGTTGTAACAGTCCAAAGAATTACAAAAAGAAAAAATTCAAAAATCATTTCAAATGGAAAAAATAGAAAAATAAGAATAAACCATTCGAAAAGAACAAATATGTTGTTAAGAAAAACAACAAAAGATTGACACCAAAAAAAGGTTGCAAATGTTATATTTGTAATGAAGAAACCAAAACACCAAAAAAATGGTTAAGTTTTTGGAAGAAAATAATTTTGAAATTTGTTTTGGAGAAGATCTCTCTGAAATAGAATCCATTCTCTATGAAATAGAAGAGGAAGAGGGGGAATCTTCTGAAGAAGAATATTTCATGCTTAACACATCATCTAATAAAGAAATTTTCGAAAATGTTCAAGAAGATCTTGAAACTATTAAATTAGGAGATGTCTTAAGGGAAGAAGTATCAATCGATGAAGATAAGCTAAAAATAATAAAAAATGAAGAGATATACACAATCTCTAAGTTCAAATTTTGGTTTGCCAGACATTTTGAGCAATTTAGTGGTAATACTATCGCTAAAGCATCAGAAGATGGAACTTGTGAAATTTCTATTTTTGACAAAACCAAAATTAAGAAACTAAAACAAAAATTTCCAAATATAAGATATATTCATATTGGGGTAATACAAGTTGAAATAAAATCATTATTTCGACAAGGTATAGATACACCAATGTTGGTCATAATGTTAGACAAACGTTTTAATGACCTAGTTAAAGCATTTAATAGGTGGAGTTCAATCTAACCTTGTTAATGGAGTAGTTTGGTTTAAGGTAAAACCAAATTATTTTATTTCCGTCAATGACCCTAATATTCAGGATACGGTCAAACTTAGAATTCAAACCAAACACATCGGGATGAAATCGATAGTTTTGACCATTCTATTGAATGGACAGCTATCCATGAGTTGACTAGTTTAAACCAAACATCAACCAAGGATTATGATAGAAAATTTGTTGAAGTGTTTGAACCACGAACCTTTGATAATGAAATTCAACCCAGACTTCTAAACTGGAAAGATCTGGAAATACTTAAAGATTGGCTTGTTCAAAATTTTACTGGACATAAAAAAAATTATGAACCAATAAATTTTCAAGCAAGTGGTAAAAATATTTATATCACTGATTCTAGATCTAAACCAAGAAAATTAGTAGATATTGGCCAATTATCTAGACTTGATGAAAGGTTAAAATTAATAGAAATTGAAGAACCTGAAATTCCTAAAACACAAGAAAATATTTTTGCATTTAAAGGTTTTGAAATACCAATTCTCCCAGCCTTACAAGAAGAACAAAAAGCTTTCGTAATTTCAAATATGAGTATTGGAAACGAAAACATAATCTTCTTTAATAATCAAAATAAAAGAAGATACACTTATGTCTTAGCATAATTTAATTTCAAAGGTTATAAACCTTATCAACTTGATGCATTAATTGATATTGGAGCTACTACTTGTGCTTGTCGACCTAATGCAATACCATTAGACGAATGGATTGCCATGACAAACCCTATTCTTGCTAAAGGAATAAATGGTGAAGACACCCAAATTGATTTAAAAGCCAGAAATGTTCCAATATGGCTTGGAAATCATAAGTTTATTATTCCTAAAATCTAATGTTTTTATATATGCATGGAGATATAATTCTAGGAAATAATATTTTGCATGAATATTTGCCTATGGAAGTTAGCCCTAAAACCATCACTCTAACAAATAATTCATCAAAAATTATGATCGACATACTTGTAGAACATAAGTATCGTTGTGTAAAAGATTTACGCCACTACAGCGTGGTGAAAGTATGACTGCATTTTTTAATTTAAATACTTCACATTTGATTTATAAGATTCTACAAAAGAATTTTAGTGAAGACCCCTTAAAATTATGGTCACGAAAATCTCGTTACTGTAATTTAAAGCTCAGTGATCCTAATAGGATTATTAGAGTAAAATCAATGGTCTATAGTAAATAAGATATAGATGAGTTTTCAAAGCAAATGAAAGATCTCTTAGAAAAATGATTAATTGAACCTACAACTAGTCCACATTCTAGTCATGTATTCATGATTAGAAACCATAATAAAATAAAAAGAAGAAAAGCTAGAATGGTCATTAACTACAAATGGCTAAACCAAAATTTAGAATTTGATGGTTACTTTATTTCTAGAAAAGATGTGTTAGTTAAACAAAATAAACATGCAAAATATTTCAGTAAGTTTGATTGTAAATTAGGTTTATGGTAAATCAAACTAACCGAAGAATCCAAACCATTAACAACATTTATTATCCCTCATGGACACTATCAATGGACTGTTATGCCCTTTGGACTATGCAATGAACCATAGATTTTCCGAAGATGGATTGACAACATTTTTCCTGACCTTAAAGATTTATGTGTTGTTTACATTGATGATATTTTGGTCTTCTCTAAAACAAAAGAAGACCACAGCAAACATTTAAAAATAATATGTGATAAATTCTAAGAAAATGGAATTATCCTTAGTCCAAAAAAAATGAAAATGGAAAAAACTTATTTTGATTTTTTAGGAATTGGTTTAGATCAAACTGGAAAAAACTTCAAGAACATATTATTTCCAAGATCAAAAATTTTCCTGAAGATTTAAACTACAAAAAACATCTTCAAAGTTTTCTTGGTTTACTTAATTATAGAAGAAACTTTATAAAAGATTTATCCAAAAAATAAAAACTTTTAGTGGAAAAATTTAAAAAGAATAAACGATTCTTTTGGTATGAAAAAGACTCAGCAATTATTAAACAAATAAAAACTGATTTATTAAGCATTCCTATAATTTATTTTCTAAGAGATGGATAAAAACCTACACTCGAAACTGATGCAAGTGAACATTGGGGGGAGTGGTTTTAAAGACGTGTGGATAATACAAAATTAATCCGTGGTTAAAATTTGAAAGTTTAAGATGTACTTCCATAGGATATTTTTTTACGATTCATTTCTAATTTTGTGGGCGCCTTTTAACAACAAATGGACGTCTGTGATTGAACGGGCTCTTGTACACGCTTATTCACGTCAAACTTTCCTTCGCATTACGGGCCTCTCTTGAAAGAAAATAAAAAAAAGAAAACATTAAATGAGACGCTTGTTGTGGGGCCGTGCTTCTTGAATTCATGTCACTAAAAGACATTCAATGAATATGATGGCCTTTAAAAATAACATTAAATGACAGAAAAAATACTGACGCACAAGTAAAGGAATAGAAGCCAAATGAAACTAAAGTAGTTTACAATAACTTTAGTTTCATGTTGAATTTACGTCAAATTACAGCTCATCTATTAAATTTACAATAACTTCAAATTATTATTCGTTGAATGTATAATAAATAAAGTAGTATTAACCTGTAATTAAACAATTTTGTCTTCTCATAAGCAATGGGATTCTTTAATTAGTTTGGCTTTTTCTTGAGTGCTACATCTTCTCAATGATAGAAATATAATAGTCCCAATTTTAACTAAAATTTCTATATTTTTATATCAATTTATTTAATTTAATAATTAATAGTTTTGGAACTAAATTTTAAAAGGAAGATAAACTCGACCATCATAATCCCGAATACAAAAAAAATGAAAATATTGAAAATACAAAAATTTGAATTTTACTTATAATTATTTTTGGACAATTCATTAAATTTTTTTTAAAACAGTTATTTATAAGATTTCAATTCTACTTTCTTCCGAACGCATGATCACAATAATACACATTACCAATCTCTGAAATTTTAGCTCCAACATAATATAACTTTTAAAGACACCACATTTGAAATTTTAGCTCCAACATAATATAACTTTTAAAGACACCACATTTGAATAGAAACTTAACCAAATTAGGGCTGCCAACAGGCCATCGGGCCCTGCCGTGGCCCAAGTCCCACCCAAGGGCCAACCCAAGCCTAGCCTAGTCTGCCTTGGCATTGATTGGGCTAAAGGGGCTTTGGTCCAAGTTTGGCTCTAGCCTTGTCAAGATTAAAGCGGTTGAAATACACTTCAATATAAAAAAAAAAAAAAAAAAAAAAAACCCACTGGAACCGGCTTGGCCTTGTTTAGCCATACCCTTAGGGCATGGTAAACTAGCCTTGGATCAACCCGTCCGGGCCATAGTTTTGTAGAGAGGAAAAGAGAAAAGGGCAAATTTATGGCCATAATATCACGTGAAGCCGAGAGAGAGAGGAAAAAGTAAGAGGAAGAAACGCGTTAATCAAAAGAAAAAGAATAGATAACAAAAAAATCAAAACGAAACCTAAGATCTTTAACAAAACTCCAAAATGTGAACTTAGGAAAAACCTGCTCTTCTGATCTTCTCGGACAAGTAACAGAGGACCCCTAGATTTGGACCTGCGCCCATTGGAATTTGGGGGCTCTTTGGTCATTGCACAAGAAATCTTCATGGGCCATTTAGTCCTCACACTTCCTTCTCTTATATGCTAGAACTTATTATCTCTCAGCTTCTCAAATGCCATTAATGGCTTCCTCTCTCCTCTTCTCTCTCTTTCTTGCCTTTTCTTTCTCTCTTACCCATTCAGCTATTGATCAATCTGGATTTCATGGAGAAAGGTACTCCTTTGCTTCTTTTTGCTTAAAATTATTTTTTGATTTTTCTGAATTTTTTGCATTGGAGAATTTGATACACCTTGGCAAAGAAAAAGAATTTTCATATCCAGAATTGCTTCATTTGTTGCTTAAATTTATGTTCATTTGGATTTTTCTTGTATGCTTTTTAGAGCTTTGATATAACTGTCCTGGTGAAGTATCTGAATTTTGCATGTTTATTTTCTTCTCAAACGGGACATGTTCCTGTTAAAGTTTAGGTTCTTTATATTTTTCTTTAATCTCAATTTGTTGAATGGTTTAGTGGGTTTCACTCAATCCAAAAAGTTGCTTTTTAGTGTCATTTATATATTTTAAATTATAAAATGAAATCCATCTGTTTATTGTTAAAATTTTTCTTCACTGGTTGCATGAGTAACTAGGTTCCTGATGTTGGAATTTTTTTTTTTTTATGTCAAGAAAAATTAAGTAATATTCATAATTTTTTCTTTGCTTTTAGAGCTATGATTCAAATGTAATAGTGGAGTATCTGATTTGTTCATGCTTAATCTCATATCAAATGGACTGATCACGTTACAAGATCATTGATTTTACTGTTCTGTTTCATCCATCATTAACCTTTGTGTTGAGTTTCATCTCAATCCAATTTCGTTCTTAAATTTTTTTTTTATTATTTTTCAATTTATTCCGAGAAGCCCATCTCTTTCGTTATGAAATTTTTTGAGTAATTGGCTGATAAATTGAGAAGTTAATTATTTACTGGAATAAAGGGGATGCCGGTGGTCTTACAATGAATTATGAAACACTTGAAATGTTTATGCAGTTATAATATGAAACTGAGGACCACGAAAGATGCATCACATGAATCCATTTTACAGTTGGGCCGTTCATCTAATGGTTTTGACCCCACCCGTGTGAGTCATCTCACATGGCGTCCCAGGTCAGTTGGTGCAATCATTATTTTCTTTTAATTTTTTTGTCCATTATGAGCTTTTTCAGTGTCTGCTGTCATACCTTTTTTTTTTTTACTTATTCCATTATGAGCTTGTTCAGTATTTGCAATTATGTATGTATGTATATGTATCTGTGTATATGTCTATCTTTATTTTCTCTTCTATTTCCTGTTTGAATGATGTTTTAGGAGTCTGAGTAGTTGGAAATGGGAAATGGAAAATGCGTGTTTGGATCTCAGAAATTGTATCCTGATTCCTGGGAATTGTGTTGAAAACATACTGACCATCTTTTTATGATCATATAGTTTTTGCTTAAGAGCCATATTTGGGTAAGAGCTATCATTTGTTCCCAAGACATTCGTTATAAATCTAGAGGGGCTAAAATTAGTTGCATGTTCATGCCAGTTTTAGTCCCTATGACGCTTTATGGAGTCTGCAGTTCTACCCTACCTTTTGACGGAACAATTACCTTTCTTAAAATAGGGCCTTCCTGTACAAGGGTTTTCTAACTGATGAGGAGTGTGACCATCTCATTGTTCTGGTAAACTGTTATTTCCCATCAATATTTCAAGTTTCAGATGATGGATTTCGTGATTGCTTCTTTCTTCTAACATTTTAGCCGTTTTGTGCACAGGCACGTGATAAGCTTGAAAAGTCTATGGTGGCAGATAATGAGTCAGGGAAGAGTGTCATGAGTGAAATCCGCACAAGTTCTGGGATGTTCTTGAGCAAGGGCCAGGTATGTGATGCTTGCTTTTCTACCATATGAATATTTTGCATGTCTATTTCATATACTAAGGTATCAATCTTTCATGGGTCACGAATTAGCTAAACTTGTGTTACTTGTCATCATGAGCACCTAATTTATGTTGCTGTCATACATAAGAAAAGAGCAGTGGGGTGTGTTTTTTGTTTTTATATTTGAAGACTAACTCGTGCTTTGTAGGCACGTTTATTTGTGATGACAACCTAAGTTATGAAAAACCATGAAGTAGAATACTTGTAAGAAAAGCACAAAGTATTATTTCCTTCAGCATGCTGTAGTTTTTTTATGGTTACATCAGAGTGCACTGGGTATCTGTTTTCTTATAGTTTACTGAAGCTCATCTCTAGATGTGAATACAACATAATTATCAGAAGCATTTTGCTGAATTTCCTATATTGTAGTGTTTCCTTTTTTGTTGTTGTTCAATTGTATGTGTGATTGGTTCCACTATAGTGTAGTTTGAGTAGGCTTCCACAGCTCAGTGGTATGTTGTTTAACCTGTGACATTACCCTTTGGGGTATCAAGGTGCCGCATAGGCATCAAAGGGAGGTGCCTTTTAATACACTGGTCTCCTTCTTGTGAGGTACAAAATTCTGGGCACAGTCTTTTATGAATAAAAGGACTGTTGATTACCATACCCTGAATAACCATACATAGGTTGTTGCATAGGTGTAATTCTTACAACCTTCCTCCTCCCCCCACTTCAAACTGCTCTCTAAAGAGGGCAGGTGAGTAACTGACAATGCTGGCAATACACTTTATGTAACTAAGGATGTTGTTGAAGCATCAATATGTAGCAAACTTTATTTCACGGATGGATTGACTGTAAATATCAGTATGCTTCATGGCTCATTGAGAACTCAAGTTACAAGGTGTTAATGGTGTTGTCCTAGTGGTGAATTGTGGAAGTACGCAATTGAACACTATGATATAAGAGAACTATTTTTTTCTTGCTTGGATATGATAGCATGGTAGCTAGTTTCTACCTAGGTGTGAACATGTGCTCTTTCATTTTATTTTTCAACAATTGGAGATATGCATCAAGAAATGTGCTAATTCATTTTGTGGCTCTGGGTTTCAGCATTTAGCCCTTTCAGATTCTAAAAATGATGCTAATACTTGGATAGTAGAAACCTTATTTATTGTAATTTTGAAAAGTCAAGGATGATTTTGATGTGTCGCCTGCATAATCATCATCATTAGAGCCTTATCCCAACTACTTGAGGTTGGCAACATGAATCTTGTCTTGCCATTATGCTCTATCAAGGGCCATGCCTTCAGTGAGACCATAAGTCCCCATATTTTTCTCACTACTCCCATGCATGTCCTTTTTGGCCTTTCCCTTGCCCTTTTAGAGCCTTCCACTTGAACCAAATTGCACCTCCTAACCGGGTGCTATATTAGGTTTGTATTATACAAGCCCACTTAAGTCTACTTTCCTTCATCTTGTTGCGTATTGGAGCCACTCCTAAGTTCCCTCGTATGTGTTTCTTCTATATTCTATCCTTTCTTGTCTTGCCACTCATCCATCTCAACATTCTCTTCTCAACTACACATCCCGTCCCATAAAGCAATGCTGGTCTCATAGCTGTCCTATAGAACTTCCCCTTCAACTTCATTGGTAGGCGGCAGTCACATAAAACTCTGGTTGTTAATCTCCATTTCACTCACCCAACTCTAATTGGTAGGCGGCAGTCACATAAAATCTCTTTTTATAGATTTTTGACCCAATATATCGAAAGTACTATCTTTTAGGTATTTCTTGGCCATCAATCTTAGCTACTTTCCATGAATCCTGAAGCTATGTGTTGCCTTAAGATTTCTTAATTCATCCTAAACCATATATAGCTCACAATAATGAACTATAGGCTAAAGATAGGACTGAGGATGTAAAATGCAAGTAGAAAAGCAATTAAAGAGGCACGCTGCTAGAATTTCAATTCAATGACTACAACCCTCTGCCTTGCACATAGTTAGCTGAAACGATTCCAAATCCAAATCGATTTGGAATAGGAATTGTGGAATCGCCGCCAGCAGGAAGATTCATGCTTTCAGAATTGATGTCCTTTCAACAGTAATGTGGGGGATTCCTATTTTTAGGAATCTACATAGATCGAGAATCCTACATAGATGCAATCGAGATTCTTAGCTCCTTGGAATCAAGTTTCCGACCTAGTTGGAACTTACGAATATGGAATCAAAATTCCTTTATTTATGGAATCGAGATTCTTACTTCTTTGGAATTAGGATTTCAATGCATTTGGAATCTTTATACATACCAGTTTGAAAACAAGATTACAATCTGTTTGGATTTGATTTTCACCCCGATTGGAATCGAGATTCATGGCAATTTGGTTGAAAAGCAGTTTGGATCTAGTTTTGATCCATCTGGCAATCGAGATCTGTAACCCCCTTATAATCAATCATCAAACAGACACATGGATAGATAGCCACAGAATTAGGAGTTACATATTGCATGAATTAAAAAATAACACACATGGATAGAGAGTGAAAGAGATTTCGACATTAAACGGCAGTTGAACATTACATATTGTGTGCAATAAAATAATAGATGATACAATGCCTCAATACACAACTTTCTTTCCACACTAATGGGAACATTGCCCCATAGAAAGAAGGGGAGGGGGTGGGGTGTGGCTTCAATTTCTTCCTTTTTACGCCCCTTTGGGCTGCAGGGAGGAGATTCAGTGTGACATAAGAACTTTTATGTGTGACATAAGAACTTGATGGAGACACTCTTGGGGTGGCTATAGGTGAAGGCTGGAGACATTTTAGGGGCAGGTCTAGGGGAAGGTTGGCTTGTTCCACTCTCGGAGGTGGTTTCAATTGCCAGATCATTGATGTCTCTTGGAGTACTGAGCGCCTCTCTCGAAGTACCTAGGGGAGTGAAAGATTCAGAAGGTGGTAAGACATTGGGTATACTTTTGTTATCATCAACATCGAGGCACATGTCCAATGCTGCCAAAGCCTCTATGTCGTCCTCGAGGTGATCATCTTCAAGATGAGAATCGCAATCCTTGTATTTGGCTTCATAATCTGCTTGTAATATGCTCAATAACCTGTTATTACTAATGACTCTAAACGTTCCGCATTAAACCGATTTTGTTTCACGCTATGTATTTAGTTGTATGTGCTCCAATATCTCTCCGCACAAGAAGAATTGACACTTTGTGACAACACCTTTACTGCAAGTGCCCTTATTCAGGAGTACCATCACCATACATGTCTCACCACAATACAATTTCCATAGTACCCCGATCGGCGATAGATGTTGGAAGTGAGAAAACCCCTCTAGTGAGAAAACCCCTCTATTGCCTTCAAAATCACCAATTTGCTACCGCACCCTACCCCTTTTTGCATCATTTGGAATAATACCTCAATAGTGCAAGGTAATTGGCAGAAACTTCTGGATCCTAAAGGGGCTTCATCCTCCTTCCCCCCTAAGAGTTTGGCGTAGCTAACCACTCTCGAGAATAGTGACTAGGATTGAGAAGGAGCACCAAACAATGCAATAGAATATTTGACTTGTCCTAATGAGCCACAATTAAAATCTTCACTCTTTGGAATAACACAGGATCGTTATATAGGGCAACTGCAATTTCGCTAAGCATAATATCCATATGCTCGTGTGCATCTCCAACGTCGGCCTTGTCGCTATTGACAAACTTTATCGTCTTCCATATTGGTCTCGTAAAACACAATATCAACTTATTTGTCTTTTAGAACTTGTCATCCATAATATCATAGACCAAGCGACATATAGTATCTACAACACCCCTTTTATGACCCTCCCACTCATTCCCCAACACCAGGAACGTCAAGGCAACTTCACTTCCATGAACCTCCTTGACATAATGTAGTGATACCGAAACCTAAGTTTTCTTAGCCTTAAGAAATTCAAGGTTAATACGTGCGAAAAATGTAAAGGCACCTAGTATGGTTATGGATGTACTTCACCACCGGTTTCGCATACTTGCAATGCTTCTTAATGAAAGCGAAAGATGGATTTTCTTATTTTATCAATTATATCTTTCATGAGAAGACTCAGTGTATGAGCCAAGCAACCTGACCAAAAAATATGGGATGACGTCGTACTTGCACCGTTACAGTTGGCGGCATTTCGGTGACAACTTGGACTACCTTATACGGTCCAACAGACTCTATAGCTTTGAAAAGGCCTTTGCAATAAATTGGCTCGACTTCTCAACTGAGGAGTAGTTGAGACTGTATAGCAACCTTGCCACTTGATACAACAATTACATTAATCAGTGACTTGTTCTTAATATTACTTCAACCATCGGACACAACTGAAACTCTGTACGTTCCCCACTCATTTCGAAATGCACTCAAAGCCTGATCGATCCTATTGCTCTCCTTGTCAACCAAGGTTGTCCTAAGCTTTTCAAATTTGGGTGCCACAGCCTTTTGGACTGTTATTAATAGTGTAAACCATTTCATGAAATCGGGGCCTTCTTGCGACATTTAATGGAATGCCTTGGGTATAAAAATATAGTGCATCTAGAATGTCCCTCCCTTGAACATTAAACTATTCGATTCTCGCTTGGGATTTGTCCTTCGCTTTTCCATCAGTTCTCTCCGACTATGTTAAGGGAACAACACGGTATCCATTGAACACTCTTACGTCATTTCGAATGTGTACTTTACTCCGAAACAATCTTTGTGCTTCATCTTCCTCACGTTTAAACATCTCTTTCATCTTTGGATATATTGGGGCTACATGAGATTCCCTTAGATCCCTCCCCAGGAGATATCCCTAAGAGGTGAGCTTGCACATAGACATATGACCCTGCAAAAGGTGCCTCTCTACAATTGAAATTACACGTCCACTTCTTTGTTCCCTTGGATCCCTTTTGAAAACTACCAACAACGGATACATATTGCCATAGTGGAGTACTTCTAGCCTCCTCTACTGGATCATCTAAAATCTTGG